CCTAATCAGGAAGCAAGGTGACTAGCAAGGCGCTTGTTCGATGCGCTCCCCTAACACCCCTTGCAGTCATTCAGCGAACTCCTTAAGGATCGCCTCAGCTCGGATTCGTCCAATATCCCAAGGAGAATCGTCTCGATAAGCATTCGATGATTTTCATAAAGAATCGAAATCCTCAAACAGCAATCGAAGCATACGTGTGATCTTCGAAAAGCTCTGTGGAAAACGAATGCGAGGAATCCAATCAAACGTAAGAAGTGCTGGGATCGATTCGTACAATGATTTGTGATGATGTCTATACAGACAAGTCAAACTTTCTCTCTTACCTAGCATTTGAAATACTCTGAAAAACATACTATCCAGACACATCACATAGCAGCTATTTGACCGAATAACTGCTACTTTTCTTATCTCTTATGCTCCTGACTACCAATATATCCACTACCAGATAATCACTATGGTTATTCGTTGCACAGTGAGTCACACCACTCAGCTCATGCCTCTCACACAAGCGGCCGATACTTTCGCACAACAATAGCCAACTTCTGTTTCCCACAGAGGCCGTGTATTCGCGTAACAAAGGCTCCAGCCGCCTTTCAGTTAGCAATCAAAAAGTATTCCCATAGAATCTGGCCAGTATTGTGCTTGATAGCAATCCACAGGCTTACGGAAACAAAATCTGGGCAAAAAGTTACGCCCACAGCACTTCCATTCCCCTACAGACAATATTTGGAGCCTGGCTGCGACTTCCACTTCCCCTGGCCCTAGATCATCCTGGTCATAGCTCACTATAGTTCATGTCGTTGTATATTGCCTATACGTATAGCCACTGCTCTATACCTTGTGTAGCCCTTCTCAATCATCTAAAGATCTGGGGTCCGGGGCATCTTACGCTTAAGTTCACATCTATAGCATCATCATGTTCCGTTGACATCGCATTACAAGTCGTAATTGTTTACTTCTCCAACTGCAGTTGTGTTGTAAGTGTTCTTTGTTATAGGTTGTTCGTTACAGTGATGAATATTATTTGTTGTCCCAGGATCAACACTGTTCGCCATCAAATAAATAATGAAAGACTCGCGTGGCAGGAATATTCAATACAATCGAATGACCAAACGCCACACAACATACTTTCACTCTCAGCTGACACCAAAGCCTGACTACTCTAGTAAAACCCCCATAAAAACTAAACCTGTCCAAAGCATTTTACTGTAAAACCTTTCGCCTTAAGCGGAAGTTCAAAGCGTGGTAGCAGAGTAGTGGCCTCTCTAGTGTAGCGAGCACGCGCCTCGCAAACAATGAGACGCGAGTTCAACTCCCGACTGGGGCCAAAAGTTTTGTATAGCACTCAATATTCTCGGATATACAATCATAATATTGAAATACTGCTACTTAAGCTGTAAAATCTTAGAATATTCGTAGATTATCGAATAGTGATCTACTCGACTCTGAAGAAAAGTATTGAAAATGACTGCACCTCGCGCTCCCGACATTCCTATTCATTTCAGCAGCGTGAAATCCTCCTTGTTGAGTAGTTTCTGGATATTGTGGATGACTGAAATGATGAGTTATCCCAAATTCCAGCAACAGATATACTGGGCTATCCCATAATTTCTTTCGCATTCCGATATTTTTGTTATTTCAATTATATCAGACTAAAGAAAGTTATTTAGCAGCATAATTCCCATCCTCCCGGATGGTTTACCGCCTCATTGTGGCTGGAGGTGCTCCTGGTTGTCGGACTAGGAAATACAGGTAGGAAGTTCAACCCCCCCCCCTCCCCCTACTCTTCCCCAGGTAGAGCCATCTAAGCTGGGAAAAAATCCCACGTTTCCACTCGGAAAGTCCAGTTAAGAGTAAACCGTATCAAAAATTACGCCGTCTTGATGGTTATTAGTCGCGAGGTGGTAAACTCCCACTGATCCACAAGGGCCGGCGACTGCTCTAAGGTGGTGAAGGCCTGAGGAAGTTCAAGCTAGGCTTACCTTGGGGCTCCAGGGAACAAAACAGCTGAACTAAATCAGTGGATGGCGTTTTCTCCGAACGAATGAGGCTAGAGATCAAAGAATATAAAGAGGCCACTCTTGGCTGGTTGAAGTCTTTGGTGTCTTTCCCCAGAAGCTGCGTCAGGGTGCGAAAGGGATGATATTCCGATGGAACGCTATCAGGGATATAAGGTAGCTGCGGCATGTGGTCCAGCCCAGCTTCTCCATAAATGTGGTGAGTCGCCTTTGTGAAGTTAGTGGTCGATCAATGTACCAGGAATCCATAGATAACTTGAGGTAGATTATTCACCTAACCTTTTCAGGACCCTAGATCCACGGCCTCTATATCCCTGACTGGTAACAATGGACTGTCTGCTCCACCTTTTCTGCATCTCTAACCCTCAGCATATGAAAACATTGTCTGTCTCACTCCTATCTGCCACTCGGCACCCCGGAAGAAGGTTCTGGTTTGATCGTCTACCACGACGCTTAACTGCAATTGTTTAGGTGTTATCTTTCTGCATTCACTATGAACCCGATGGCTCGGGATCGAACCAGCTACCACGTGCCCACTGAGAGGCACCTCCAACCGATGCGCTATGCCCGGGCTCGACTCGCTGACACGTTATCACGTCATGCCCCTTATAGTAACACCGTAGCACAAGCGATTAATGGGCATGATTTAATTATCACCATTTTCAACGTTATATATAACTATATGTTGCTATAAGTTTCAGGTTGTTAAACTCATTGTTATAAGTTGCAGATTGTTGAATAAATGATGATAAATACATTCTACACGCCAGGATATCGAAAATAAAGTTGACCGTAGACGCGATGCGCTTCAACGGCAACCGATGGACGAGGGCCGTTACCAACTGGATTCCTCGGGACGTCAAGCGCTCTAAAGGAAGACCACCGACCCGTTGGTCCGATTTCTTCACGAGAGCGATAGAAGAAAGATATGATGCTCAGCGAATTCCTAGAGCGAGGAGGAGCCACTGGGCTACTCTTGCACACGACAGGGAAAATGGAAGAGTTGCTGGTACCCGCTCGAATCACTCGACGATCAACGGGACGACAGGTGATACAGGTGATATACATATGTAATGGTGTTGCTCTATAGGATATGGCGTGATATGATGCTAGTGAGTCGGGCCCGGGTAGAACGCACCGGTTCGAGGCGTCTCTCAATGGGCAGGTGTGGTCAGTAACACCAAAAAACTTCAGTGACGCGTCGTTGTAAGAGATCGTACCAGTAACCTTCTTCGCGATAGACGGGATGCCGTGTGACAGAGAGAAGTGATAGCAGCTTTTGTCACTGAACTTGATCCAAAAAGAATGAGAAGTTCATGAAAGGTTCTTTTCCGTTAGACGGCACGGGTTGAAAAAACGACCCCTTTCGTTGTACAAGAACTTTTCATAAGTATGTTAGTAATTATTCGAAAGCTTAAATCTTTGGCTAGAGCCGTGGGCGGTCGTTTTACGAAAAAACCCGTCTACAATGCTGTAACATACAAAATAAAAAATTGTTTCACCCTAATATGTGAAACTTGAAATTATTTCCTCTGCTGCATTGCAGTGAAACTATCTCTCCAGGAAAGAAGCACAGTTTTGGAATCACTGAAATTTACGCTATCGAATGATTACTAACACTCCTATGAAAAATTCCTGTCTAGCGAAATGGATAGGTTTTTGATCTCGCGGCGTCTACCGAAAAAGTACCCCATAAACCTATAGCTGAAAGGAATTATGGGGTGACCTGATAGCAATGCCGTCAATCTCACATCTCTAACTGATCTCTCCCAAATCTATCTACTCATCAAACTGTACGGGAAAGTCCGGACTCACCTCCTCGTTCCAGTATACTTCAATAATACCAGATATATAGTTGAGAATAAAATAACTGAGACTACGAGATTTCTCGGAGAGAATATTCGGCAGATAAAATAACATTTCCGAAGCATGACGACGATCGATCGATCGACGAGAGCAGAGAAACTATTGAATAATTAGGAATAGAAAGTAGTGATAGCCAAATGGTCAGCAGGAAAGCCACTAAGGGGCTATTGAGCCATCAAAATACCGCCTGAAAATAGGAAGAAGCGGATATCCAAAGGTTCGTGAATAAACAAACAAACAAACAAACAAACACAATCACAACAACAGTCTAGGCGCCCTATTTCCGTAAGTACTTAGAACTCCCTTGTTTACTTGTTTACAAGATAGAAACAAACAAACAAATAAGCAAACAAACGAACGCGACCGAACCATTAAACCTATGCCACTTCATTCCATAAGCGCTCAAAATCCTCTTGTTTGGTTGTTTACAAGATAGAAACAAACACAAATAAACAAACGTCATGAAAACAAAAGCCTATGCATCTTAATCCGTCAGTACCACGAATTTCTTTGATTATTTGTTTACAAGGTAAGAATAAACAAGGAAACAAACACGGTTAAAACAGTGAAGCCCAGGCCCCCTCACTCCGTCAGCGCTTGGAACAGCCTTGTTTACTTGTTTACCAGACAAAAACAAACAAACAAACAAACACCATCGAAACAAAAGCCCGCGCCCCGTCAGTCCGTCAGTGCTTGAAAGCCCGTTGTTTACTTGTTTACAAAAAACAAAGAAACGAAGGAGTAAACAAACAAAAAACAAACCGGTAAGCACGAGAGAATAAGAATAATGATCTCAGGCGACCATTACAGAATGTTAGGCGTAGTGTGGTGTGTGTTAGCCGTAGTACAGACGCTCTGACTACCATATATCTCCGGCCGTTGTGCGTTTAGGTCTGTTCTTATGTGGGGACTAGCGGGCCGCTTGTTTACTTGTTTACGTCTTGTTTACGCGTTTGCTCATGTTTATTGTTTACTTGTTTGTTGCTTACACGACTTCTCATAACTGGTTTACTCGACAGATTTCGGCACCTTAAGCATTTGATTTGTTTCCTCACGTACAGCCTCCATAAAGGTCTTCGAATATACCCAGTGATGTCGAGTGATGTGGAAAACCTTTGCGTCAGGCGGGACTCGAACCCGCATCCCACCCTCTTCTAGGGTGCGAGCTGTAAGCCGTTGCGCTACCGACGCCTCCTATGCCACCGCTCTTTCTACGCTTCGAATATCTTGTTTCTTGCTTCAACTGCTGCTTGGGGATTTCCTCTTCACGATTTCCTATTTAGTCCCAGAGGTAGCCGGGCTAAGGCACTCCCTGAGACATTCGCTAATCTATTGCAAAAGAGTGTTGGGGTCGAGGATCGAACCGGGGCATTGTACACCTCGTTTTCTGGTACGCTAACCACTATGCTACCTCGCCCGCTTGGTGAATGTTGTTTTTTTCTAATACTAATTTTTGAGTTACGTCTACTTTGCTCTTCACCCATAACCCTTTGGGAACCGCCATCTATAACAGGCGACGTCGCGCAGGTAGCTCACGCGGCAGGCATCCTTCCTATGTCTATGAAACGCATGTGGCGCAGTGGTTAGAGGTGTTCTGCGTCGCACACATGGTCGATGGTTCGACCTCGCACTCATAGCTTCCTGAGCCTTCCATCCCTTCGGGCTCGGCGAATTGGTACCAGACTTGTCGGGGAAGACTGATACAGCACTGACTTGGCCACCACGAGTCATTGGTTAGGCCAGATGGGCATTCAATTACTTCAAACTAAGCTAATTGGGGATTGATCAGCCCCGGGAATCTTCATCTTATATTTTTCTAATGCTTTCTACATTCCTTCTGATGCGTTGTCTTGTACACACAATATGGATTCTTCCCGTTATGCGGAAGCAAGAGGATTCTAGACCCCATACGCTGGCCAGTAACTTTACACAGGAGTGTTAGTAATCAGTTGAAACCCCAAATCTCTGGCTAGAGCCGTGCCTGGCCGGTTTTTTGGAAAGAGCATTTTAGATAGCATATTTTGTCATATTTAAGTGCATGTGGCGCAGTGGTTAGAGCTGCTCTGCGTCGCACACGAGGTCAATGGTTTGATCTTGCGCTCATGGCTCACCAAGCCATCCATCCCTCCGGGGTCGGCAAATCGGTACCAGACTGGCCTCAGACTCGTCTAGGAGGATAACCAGCAGTGACTCGGTTCAGCGGGAGGCCGCCGCGAGTCATTGTAAAGGCCAGATATGCATTCAGTCACCTCAACGAAGTCAAAAATTGAAGTAGAATGCATGGCGCATCCCTCAGGGATTGGTCAACGCCGAGAGCTTTATCCTTTATTTAGCTTTTATTTTATCATATTTATTATTGTTTGTACACAGCAGATCATGTCCTACTATGTTTATATATAGTGTTTTATATAGCATACACTACTACGATCAAAATAAAATTGTTTTATATCGGTTGCTCAATTCAATAATTGCTTTGCTCGAGACTCGAAAAGCACGTGAACGTGTAGAAAAAATATTGTACTACCAGAGAGTCAGACTTTTAATCTGAAGTTGCTTTTAAAGCGTAGAAGGAGTTCGTAATAGGATAACAAACATCGCACTTTCATGTGAGAGGATTGATCGACCATCGCGCCAGCCCCCTTTGGGGCCTCACCTCGCGCCCCGTGAATTAGCCAAAAACACATCGCGTATGTGAAACTCTTATTTTCTTTGCTACAGTGCGAAGAAGCTGTCTTTCCGGGAAATAAGCGCAGCGTTGAAATCCTTGAACCTTACGCTATCGAATGATTACAAATAGTTCTAAGAAAGAGCTCTGTCTGGCGTGATGTACAGGAAAAATGTCTTTTATCCCTACAGCGCTATCGAAAGATCTTTCCAAAAAGCATGACGTTATTGAGTTCTTCGAGACTTTTGCTATCGACAAAGTACTAGCAGTGTAAAGGAGTTTTGTCCAGCGAAATGAGCGATATAATAAAAAATTACGCGTGATCGTGTGAAACATAATTTTATTTTGGCGTAGAAAGAGTGGGGTGCAAAACGAGCGTTGGTGGTGCAACAGTTAGCATACGCTCCCGGAAAGAGTGAGATCTGGGTTCGAATCCCGGCTGATGCAAACGTTTTTGCACAACACTCTGCACTATTGGGTATACTTTATTTTGGATTTTGCAGCGTTTTAAACGGCGGTTGCCAGGTACGGCTCTATCCAGAGTTTGAAGCTTACAAATGATTACTAACAGTGTATGAAAGCTTCATGCCCACCAAGAGGGATCTTTTCTCCATTTGTTCTCGGATAAAGGAAGAGAACCCCATACAGGTCTAATCTCTGTCATATACGTAAAGTATGTAGAGTTCTAGGAAAGTGTTATGAAGCATGCTGTTCGTGAACTGGAGGTGCAAACGACGTATCGAAGCCGTCTATACGGGTGGAAATGTGGAATGGAGTGCTGATGGAAGCACCCTCTACTCGATGTGCTCGAATGTCGTAAAAGCGATCAATTTGGACGATGATTCCTTGAGGTATGTTTCTTGATATTCAGTAGTAAAACTGTAGATGAAGCTGTGTGCGTCGACCAATCCATCAAGGTGCTTGATGCAGTACCCATGAGGTCATTCAAATGAATCTATGGCCTTTACAAGAACTCGTGGTGGCATGCTTATGCGTCATCTCAGTGCTGCCATCCTTCTGGACAAATCTGGTGCGATTAAACGATCCCGCAGGGTTGGAGGGGTTCGTGGGTTATGCGTGAGGAATTGAACCATCAAGCAAATGTCCATCGCAGAGCACCTCTAACCCCTACGCCACGCGCGTCCTATCCAGTTATAGGTAGTGCTGTTTGCTGATCTGCATAATGAACGACTCGAAAGATCTTTCAGCTACGCAGAGTTGAGCTCGCGCTTCACCCTTTTCAGAGGTGCCTGCTAGCCCTGATTTCATAGTCTCTAAAAATATGTCCAGAACTTTGTAGCTGTCTTCTTAACCCTTTCAGGACCATGAACCCAACTCTCTGCGTCCCTAAGCACCGACGTGTTGCCTCTAACAATGGAGCGTGTTGCGTTTGACCCAAGCAGGCCATTGTTAGACGCAACACTGGGTTTAATTGACAGCTCAAACTCTTTATATTGGAAAAGCACAGCCTAAAAAAGCTTCGATGGTGTATTGGTTAGTGTGTGTTCTCAGAATTTGTGGAACTCGATTTCAGCTCCCGCCCGAGGTTCAAGATCTGCTTATCTTTTAACATTCCAGGATATTTGATCGTAGCATCATAGCAGTGCTATAAAAGCGATAAAATAAAGAGAATTCTTCTAAATTGCATTCTTTCAGCTATGTTATCGGTGATACGGATGAAGCCTTCGCATCACTTGTATTTGCATGGACAATAATCGCTGCCGATTGCTTGTTGCATGTAATAACCATGTCGTAAGTTGACCTTTCAAGATACCAGTAATCTTCACGCAGTCCTTAAGAATGTGACTAACCTTTCCGAGGTTTGTTACATTACATTCCGTTTTGGCTTATGAACCAGTCGAACGGAAGGTTAGGAACATTCTTTAACCCTTTTGGAACCGTAGACCCACCTCTCCTGCATCACTAACCTCCAGCGTAAAAGCGCATTGTATCTATTATTGTATTACTTCAATTGTATTATAATTGTTACTATCCTGTGGAGCGCACTGTGACGCAGTGGTTAGAGGTGCCCTGCGTCGCACACGAGGTCACTGGTTCGATCTCGCGCTCATGGCTCACCAAGCCATCCATCCCTCCGGGGTCGGTAAATTGGTACCAGACAGGTCTCAGACTTGTCTGGGAGGATAAGCAGCACTGACTCGGTTCAGCGGGAGGCCACCGCGAGTCATTGTAAAGGCCAGATGTGCATTCAATCACGTCAAACCAAGTTAAATAATTGAAGTCGAATGCATGGCGCATCCCTCAGGGATTGATCAACGCCAGGAGCTTTATTTTCTATCCTTTTATCCTGTATTGTGTCATATATAGATATATTATGTTGTGATAATTAGGAAAATAGCAGCAAAAATACAATTGAAACAATGCAGTAGTACATTGAATACGTTCCCACCTGGAGTTAGAGATGCAGAAAAGGTGGAGCAGACAGTCCAGCGTTGCCACGCTAGGGTTAGAGATGCGGAGGAGGTGGGTCCCACGAACATGAAGGACTTAAAGACTATATATTGGACGTTTTTTTTTATCGAGGTTTTGAAAAAACAGTCGGTTGAAGACGTAGGTCTCTATATATGGAAGGGAATGCTTGATACAGCTGTCGTGGTTTTAGCTCGGTGTTGTTGATTTCAGATCCGTGAATTTTCCGTGCTTAACGCGTCTCCTGCACTAGCCCGTACATGGAAGACAATGCACACGGCGCCAATTCTTTGTATGAGTCTTAGCGCCGATGGTTCATTGTTGGCTACCGGTTCAGCCGATCATAACGTTAAGGTAGTGATGTCCAGGATTCCGGTGGTTTTCTTTGGCTGTTATTTCTCGTTTTCAGGTTTGGGATTTGGTCCAGCAGCAATGTACAAATACACTGAAAGGTGTTGGTGTGGTTTCAACTATTTCATTCATACACAACAATCGCTTATTGGTCGGATATCTGGGAGGAGAAGTGCGAATGTTCGACCTTGTGAAAGGCGCTATCCAGAAACTGCTACGAGAGTGGAAAGTACACACTAGGTTAGTTTTTGGAGCTCATTGCAGGAGCTGTTGGAGGGTTTCGACTATGGTCCTCAGACCAAAGATCTCGCACATAGAAGCTCATCTAGGAACGAACATCCAAGGATTTCCATATCAATCAATCGCTATGGACGAGAAAGTCGTTTTGTGATACATAAGTGCTCGCGACGTTCAATAGACATGAACTGGAATTAAAGTTGACTTTGGCAAAGGCTGAATAATCAGCAGAAGCTAAGCCTTAGTACTCTGTCTCCTGAGTGATTCTGTGTGGATAAGATGTCGCGATAAGGACTAAGAAGTTCTATTGAGAAAACCTTCGATATTAGGCTAAAATAACAGGTCCCAAAACACTTCGTGGGACCCTTTTTTTTTTTGCCTTATCCTCACTATTTCGGCATAGCCTTATCGGACTGTAGGAATTCCTAATGAATTGTAGTTGGAAGTTAGTCGTTGAATGAAATTTTTTGCATTAGAACTTCCCAGTTTTACTACAACTCGTGCGTAA